GAGAGAGAGAGGGGGGGGGGGAGTTCTAGAGAGAAAAAAATTCGTAGTGAGAGAAAGAGAGGGAAAGGGATGGGTCAGATCGTGAAGAGGAAGAAGAAAGGTAGACCATCGAAGGCAGATCTGGCACGGCGGTCCGGTGGAGGTTTGACATCGTCGGAATCTGAACCGCGGAGGAGTCTCCGTCGCCGGAATGTGAGGTACAACGTGGATTTTGACGACTTTCTTGAAGAAGACGATGAGGATGAGGAAGAGGACGAGAGGAGGAGAGAGAAGAAGTTGAAGCTTGTTGTGAAGTTGAATCAAGGTAGAGATGGAACTCATCTATCTCCGATGTCTCGACTTGCTAGGTCAGGAGCGCGTGATGCACACGCGCCGGAGTATGGTTCGTCTGCGTCCGAATGGGAAGATGACGAACCTGAGAGGAAGCCATTGAAGAAGAGGAGGATTGGAGGCGGCGGCGGCGGCGGTGGTGGTGAGGAAGAAGATGAAGATGAAGATTACGACGATCAAATTCGTGGAGATGAAAATGAAGACGATGACATTGATGAGGTACTTAACAAGAACACCGCCATGGATGGATCTGTTGGAAGTGAGGAATATAATGAAGATTATGAACAAGAGAGATTGAGGAATGTGAGGGAATGAGACAGAGTGGGATTTGGGAAGTTTCTGCTTTAACAGAGAGAGGAGTGTCCAGCTCAGCTGAGATCACTGAGATTTTTATGCAACTGGTCCAGAATTCAAAATTACTCTTACTCCTTTTCCATTTCTTGAATTTCCGTTTCACTTTCTCTCACTAGGTCTTTGAAATGTGTCGGGGATTTGTGAGGTATGAAGGGTTTTGAGGTCAACTGTCAAAAACTAACACCCCTACAGAATCTGATCACACTCTCCCACCTTTCTCTCTCCACCATTCCCTCAAATCTCTCAATTTTTCTCTTTCTCTCTCTATCTTTCCATGTTGTCTGCCTTATCTGTCTATGTCTCTGTCTCTGTCTCTTTCTATACTTGTTTATCACTCGTGTTGTATACCAATTTATGAGTTTGATTCATCATACCTTTTGTTTGACATAATGGATTTTGACAGGAAAGGGGAAGGAGGAAGGTGGGCTCAAAAGGGTCCGACTCTGTTCCTGGTTTGTGTTCTTTTATTAAATTGAATTTGTGATTCTAGTTTGTGGGTTTATTCCTAATTTGTCTGTTTTTGATCTTTGAGCTTCATGTTTGAATTGGGTTTGTTTAATGTGGGGTGTTTCTTTGATCAGGGACTCCCTCAGATCGATCATCCGGGTTACCATTACCTGATAAGAAGACATTGGAGTTGATTCTTGACAAGCTTCAGAAGTATGGGGGGAATTGATCTCTGTCTCTTATGGATTTTGTTATATGTGAAATTCAAATTTTTCTAGAATTAACATCTGAATTGGTGGCAGGAAGGATACTTATGGTGTTTATGCTGAACCAGTTGATCCTGAAGAGGTCTGCGATTTTCCTCCCTCTCTTTTTAAGTGGTTGTTTCAGCGTTCCTCAGGTTCCAAATTTGAAGTAATGTTTGTTCTTGTAGCTTCCTGACTATCACGATGTCATTGAGCATCCTATGGACTTTGCCACCGTGAGGAATAAGTTGGCTAATGGATCATATTCAATTCTGGAACAGTTTGAGGTGGGTGTCCAATTCTTTGGTTGGACAGTTTTGTTCTACATACATGTGCGTTTGAGGTTATCCGTTTGCTGAATTTTGGGATCCAAAACTTGTCCTGGTTTTTCCCGCCTTTGACGATCCAACGGTTAGTTGGGAGGTGACTTAGCGACGAACATGGTGCCTGAGAAGGATTCATCCCTTCATTGGATGTGTTAATGTGCCTGACAGTACTGTGTTTCTTTGTCTCCTTTGAGTGTGGTTGGAACATTTGTCAGAATATCATTGCTTTTGTACGTTGACGGCTGATCTTTTCTCTTTTCTTTCTTACTCCTTTCCTTGTCTTTCTTTATTATGGGTTTGGGGGGAAGGAGGAGGTGAGTCCTTAAGAACCCCAGGCCAACCTATAAAACCACCATTGATTGCACAATGGATCTTTGTTTTTCAAGGGTTGATGATAACATGCCTGCTAATCTTTAATTCTGATCAAGTGTTGGCTCAGTTAGTGAAGGTTAGAAATTCCAATAGGGTGGAAATTCATTTGGTTTTACTCTCTTCTAGGCCTACTCAAGCCTGCTAATCTTCAATCCAGCTGACTTTCATCTAATCTTGAATGCTGATATCAGATCTCGGACCCTGTCTCTTGTTTAATTTGGTTGTACTCTCTTCTGGGTCTATTGAAGTTTCCATACTTCTGCAGGATCACCTCGCACCCCGTCTCTCGTTTTTGTATCTTTGTATTTGTAGTTTGGTTTCAAATACAAACTGTCTCTGCCTTTCGACATTCTTAACCGAGTTTGGAAGCGTCTTCCGTTCATGGAGAAAAGTTCAAATGATTCTGCTACGTTTCACTTTTTGGAGACGAACTTAGAATGGAAGACTCTTGACAATAGGAAGAGAGTGTATGGGGAAACTTTAGATTTAGTTTGTTTCACGGCTCCTAGTTGGCTGGCTAGTCATTTTGAAAATCTTCTGGCTTACTGGATTTCAGTTGGGTTTCTTATCCTTTCTGATTTTGCGTGTATATTGACCATCAAATGATCAATGCTTTGCCTCTATGCTGTACCTTGCATTCTATTCTGAACGTAATTCAGTAGTTTTACTATTTAACAATGCTCGAGTTCGGGTTTAGTATAATTTTTTAATCATTGAGCTTCTTGGATGCAGAGCGATGTTTTTCTTATATGCTCAAATGCAATGCAGTACAATTCACCAGAAACCATTTACCACAAACAGGTATAATGATTCTAATTTTTCAAATTTCTTTGTTTTCCTATCTTCTCAGTTAGTGAATATACTTGTTTTCGTAAAGGCACGTTCCATTCAAGAGCTAGCCAAGAAGAAATTCGAGAGGGTAAGAATTGAAGTCGAACGCTCTGAGAAAGAGTTGAAATTGGAGCAGAGTACAAAATCGAATTCGTACATCAAGAAACAACCACCAAAGAAACCCTTTTTCAGGACTTTGCAGGAACCCATTGGATCTGATTTTTCCTCAGGTGCAACCCTTGCTGCCACAGGAGATGTACAGAACGGTTCGAATCCGATCCACGGTGTTAACTGTGAGGTACCTAGCAATAATATTGATGGGCAAGTAGAGGGTAGTTCCTCCTTCTTTGATACTACTAATCAGGACAAGGCTGAAGAGCTCTTCTCAGGTATTCTGAATAATGAGACGTTTATCAATAGGAACCAATGCAGTCTAGTTTTGAACTATCTATGAAAATCCCTGAGATATCTCTGAGACATATATCCAATATATCTGCTTGATTCATGATTAAATCCACTCTGCAAGCAAATTATTTTGTCCTAATCAGTTCTTGTTAATCTCACTTTTATAGGAAAGGGTATTCTAGGTAAATTGGGAAGAAAGACGTCTGTGCTTGACGACAACCGCCGTGCAACTTACAACATATCTAATTCACCTGCGCCACGATCCGAGTCAATATTTTCAACCTTTGAGGATGAAATAAGACAGCTTGTTCCGGTATCGTCTCTTGGTCTCTGCTGTTACTTGTGGGTGCTCTTATCCTTCGATTTTCATGTTTTTTTTTTTTTTTTTTTTTTTTTTTTTTTTTTTTTTTTTTTTTTTTTTT